GATGGATTTGAAGTCTTGGCTTTCTTGGGGGCTGGTAGGGAATAAGGGAATGTACTATACAGGGATCATATTCCCTCATGCCTACTTACCACTAGTAAATTTCCCATCAGATGCTCATTTGTATACCTACAGAATCGCAAGCTCCAATCCTAAACCTAGCAACCCTGAACCTTAAATGTCCCTCTACCCCCTTTCGCAGACCCCTAAACCCTAAACCCTAAGGTTTGGGGTGTTTCGAGGTTGCTTCGCCGCATGCCTGGCCAGTCTGACCCTGTCTTGGCTGCCGACATGACGGCCCCGGGCCCTGGGCCCCAGCCGTTCAAGGCCCGAAGGTTGAGGAAGAAGGGTTTGGGGCATAAGGTGTATTTTTTGCGCTGGAGGATTTGGGGCAATGATTCAGGATTTAGATTGAACCTGTAACAGTTCCTCCCAAAACAGAGACGCCCTATCAAACCACGGTTATGGGCTCCTTGTTTAGATCTATTGTATGCGCGTTTCCGAAAGCTACCCTTATGGAAACCGCTTATGGATACCCATCATGACCCCTTCATAATCACTTAACAGGCTAGCTTCTAATATGCTCCTCAGGCCCCTATGCTTATCACCTGAAACCTTGAACTGTGAGGTGGTCTTCAGCCCTAGCGTTGCTGTGCGGGCAGCTCCATCCACGGATGCCAACATCATCAGCGCGCGGAAAACGGGCGAGGCCTTTCGGGGATGCTGCAGTTTCCTTTGGAATTAGCTTTCAATTCTATTACAGTGTGAAACCTAAGGAAGTTTTAATACTACTATTTGCATTATCGGCCAGAGGAATTACAGGATGTCTTTCTGCTTATTGGTGGTGGTAGGGAAGGAAGGAGGGGGTTTTAAGATGATTTTAGGGGGACTCTAGATGCACTACTTTGCGGATCCATTCACCTCAATTTTCTTGCAAACCATCAGTAAACCTGTTGATGGACAAACTCCGGCATCAAGATTGGCATGCGCAACTTTTTTTCATGGGCTCCGTATCGACTTGCGAGGTGGCTGCTAACCCCACCCAGCTCGCATCAGCGTCTCTTTATCTTGCTAAATCTCATAGAACCCCAAAACTCCAGGACCTATAAACCCGAAGCCGTGGACAATGCTAATCATTCTGCTAATGGTTCAAAGGCTACTGTGCCCCTCTGGTAAGAGCTTGCAGGTGATTTTGGCAGAGTGAGGAGCTGAGATGTCTGTGGGTGTTAAAGGCTTATTAGGGCACAGGGTTTTGGATTTTTGGGGGTTATAGTCCCCCCTTAAGTAGATAGAATATGGCTTTGGGTATATCATAATAAGATCCCCATGTACCCCATATTCTATCTACTTAAGGGGGACTATGGGGATGAGGACTTTAGGGTTTACGATTTTGGGACTTGGGGATTTTGGGGTTCAGGGTTCTAGGGTTGCCATTGCACGGTTTGAGATGTAGGTGGTGGCAGAATCAGATGGGGTGGGAGGTGTTCCACAATTCATGGACCCCCGAAATGGGAATATCATGAAACAAACGGTTCACGCCCCACCCCAAGGCACTGTTCTGTTCGTTTTGACTTGCACTTAGGCTTGTTGACCCGGTAACGGGTCTAATGAAGTGTTTAGGTTTTAGGGTTTACGGTTCAGGGTTTAGGATTTAGGCTTGAAGATCTAGGGTTCGGGGCTTAGTTAGGATTTAGGAGTTTGGGTTCAGAATTTAGGCAGCGGAGACGTGGAATCCCAGAAACTTCCGTGCAAGGTTCGTCGACTTCGAGGTTGGGATTTAAGAGCTACCATGAAGGCAACAACTAGATGTACTCTAGCCATAAGGGTCCGCCCCTTTTGAATCCCTAGAAATTTCACTTTTCTTGCTGGTATATGCAAAGAGAAAGTGTAGTAGGAATGTAGAACCTTGAGAAGGTGGTATGAGGACCTTCCCTATTCTGAGAATTTCGGCCGTTACACTACACATGTGTCATTGCCTCCTCAGGTCTCAGACCTATTCTGGATGGCTAAGATTGGATGGCGATGCTGGATGGATGCTGAGTCATGCCGTCCTGCTTCTATCAAAAGGTGTTGGGGGTGAAGGGTTCATACGCATGGCTTATGAGCATGTCAATGTCCTAGAGCATCGCAATTACTTTTCGGAGGGTTTTTTCTTGCAAAATCTATCTTCGTTACACTTGGGGTGGCTGCAGTGGATTTTTCCACGAAGGATCGCAGCAGACAACAAGTACAACGCCACTGCGATGTCTTGTGCAGAGCGTGAGAACTCCAAACTCAGAAGACTTGAGCCATAACCCATCCTGGAGTACTCGTCAGAGTTGGCGACATGACTCGCTATTCTTCAGAATTCAAGAAGATCCAGCAATTTGGACAACGGCTTGTTCTCGTTTAGCTCATCTCAACCTGCACACCATGCATGCGCACATATATGCATACATGCATACATGCAGAATTACAGGCCAAGTATATGTCACCATCCGATTTTGCACTCGACTGCCTTTCTGCACGTTCTGGCCGCCGGAGGCTCCCAGAGAACAAAGTAGGATCTGGAGGCCCCTGTGCTGCCAACCCCCCAGCTTCTGCCTAGCAAGACATGGCCAAGCCGCTTCTCTGCCGAACTGAATGACCTAAGCTACTATCCGTGGGATGGGATCACTTCGGGTAGACCTGGGACATAGGGTTCCCCCTTAGAAGCTGAGTAACATATGGACGCGACACATGTTTCCGAAGCGTCCTGGTACAAGAATTGAAAGGTTGCATCTTTTCTTGTGGGTCCCGAGAATAGCAGAGGAAGTGGAACAACGGGTTCCGACATGTTGAGACATGACAGCAAATTGTGGATGGGCGGAGAAAACTTCTAGGACTAGACTACCCTCCACTCCTCCCGTGGAACATGCAAAGTCAGTAGAGGGCAGGTGGAGACTAAAGTCCTCCTCTACGCGGTTCCACATGTTTTTGCTTGGGGGGGATATCTTGATACTGTTTTGCTTTGGTTTCTTGTGAGTGCAGATAGGGTTCCTGAGGAATATTATAGGGTGTGTCTCTATATACATATATACTGGGTGTCCTGTTGGGGAGGCCGAAAATTGAATCAGAAATAGGTCTCATTCTCTCAACCGTACAAAGTTTCTGCGTCATTGTACCAGCTCCCTGGAAATCTGTAGTCTTGCATAGTTGCGAGGAATCCACACAATCCATCATAGTCGCTGCCTGGGGCCCCGGCAGTCCCCCCAGTTTGCGATACTCCCACATATGAACCAAAGCCCCCAGCAGACCGTTTTGGTTTAGGTTTGAGGGCTGAGGGTGCCGTAGAGCATAGCCCAGAGCGTAGCTTATGAAACCCTAAAGGAGGCTTAGTTATGCCGCGTCTCCCATGGAATAGGATGCAACACCCTAGACCTTGACCAAAGGTCCACACACCAACCCGACAATAATCACAGCCCTAAATGCGAAAGCCTATTGCGCGCCATGTCATACCCTACCGCTTAGAGCCCTTGCCTCTAAGCCGTTCACCCCAAAAGCCTGAAGCCTGCACTGCAGCGTGCGCCCCGGGTGCCAGAGCTAGCACACTAAACTAGTGGTCCTTGGAACGTTACTGTACCCCATGCTTTGTCTCCAAATCTCCCAAAATGATTGAGGACTACTCTGCCACAGCCCAAAACCCGATACGCTAACCTAACCTTCAAGTCCGACGGGTGCTTGTCCATAGTTCCTGATGGATGTTAATTGTTTTGGTGAGTGCTGCGAGTGTTTCGCAACACACTCCAGGCAAGCCCTACCTCACCTTCTCAACCCAAATCCTTGCATCTGCAGCTCTGAAACCAAAATCCTGAGCCAATGCTTACCCCTACACCCCGAACACAAAGCCTTGTTAACCAGATAATATACAGCCTAACTCCTAGCTCCGCATCAGAACCCTCATACCTTGAACCCTACCCGCAGTCGTAATCAACAACCCTAAACCTTCAAAACCTAAACCGTACTTTAACCGCACGTCACGACTATAGGTTTGACATCGCAGTGATTGGCGCCGGCCCGGCCGCTCTCGCCACTGCCTTTTGGGCTTGCTTTGAGGGGATCAGGATGTGGGGTATGTAGGTTTTTAGGGCTTAGATGTAAGGAGGACACAAACTGACTTTAAAGGGTTTGTTGCCATCGGGCTTCAGGATTTGGGCTTTTGGAATTATTGAATGTCTACTTAACCATGCACGTGCTAGTTTTCAAGTTCCCGTCTCAAACCAACAATGTTCCCCACCGTCTCCTTCCTGGTGCTTAAGGGAGAGTGGGGGAGTGGATCCTCATAATAATCCTGATAGAATCCCCATACATACCCCTGTAGTGCTACCTATATTCACTCCCCCACTCCCCATTATGCATCCGTAAGTCTCCGTGAAATTGCAGGTGAAGGCGCTCTCCAAGAGCAAGCACTCCGTGGCGTATATAAACGGCTACACTTTTCAGGATGGGGGTCGGAAGATGGTGTAGGGCTTTGGGGGTTTAGAGTTTGGGGGTGTAGGGGTTTGGGGGTTAGGGGCTAGGGGTTTAGGGTTTAGGGTCTTGATTTAGGTCATCTGTCGAGATTTGGATCCATCTCTGGGGTCAAGTCAATATTTTGAGAATCATCTATGCCCGTCAGCATGGCTCTTTTGAGATTCAAGCCAAGACGGGTAGCAACACTACATTTAGGAACATTGCTTTTGCTGTGCAGATACTTTTTGAGCAGTTTGAGCGCTTGTCTCCTGTTTTCCCTCAACCCTTCATAAACAGGCATAGGCCAACCTAAGCATTCCTGAAGCCTCAGTCCCACACCCGGAAACCTCAAAACCCAAACTCCTTACCCCAAATCGTAAACCCTAGATCCTACCCTTCACTCCTCAAACCGAAGCTCAAAAATCTAGGCCCCACAACTCCCAAGACCCCAAAGCCTAAACCCTAAGCCCTAAATCCCAAGCCCTAAAACGCCCTAACCCTAATTCACCTGCTTCAGCTTCCAGGAGTGGGCTATGGCGGCTGCCATCTTTCTGAATTCGCCCGAGGTCCCCTCCTGGGAACCCAGTGTTTAAGGTTTAGGGTTTACGGTTTAGGGTTTAAGGTTTAGGGTTTAGGGTGGAATTGAAACTCAGGGTTTAGGGTACCTAGTTCATTGATGAATACAAGTTTCGAACGTTGTTCTAGTAAAGCCCACAGTTTCCAATACAATCCCAACCAGGAATCGGGCTTACACTAGCGTATAGACATAACCTCCTGTATTGGGATTCTTCTGTTGATATGATCCTTTGGGTCCTCATATCAAGTCTTGGGATCATTGGGAGATGTCGCGAAGCAGGGTGAGGTTCCCTACACTTCCTATGTAGCCACGGTATAGATGTATAACATGTTTGCATTAGGCTTCCCTACACTTCCCGCCCAGCCCACAGAGCAGGAGCATGTGAAATGGACCTCGGGGGATCCTTCAAAGTGGCAGCCGAATCATGCCAATGTGGAGTGCTTCCACAGCTCCGCCGAGTCAGTGGACTGCGACAAGAAGGAGATCACCCTCATGAACAAGGGGCCCCATGCAGGTGGCTGCCTGAGGTTCTGTGCAAAAGAAGTTCAGTTCCTGATAGACCCCACAATACTCACACGATCTTCCTGTCCATGGTTGAAAACAACGCTGCTGTCTAGACGTCTCCCTTGCGTAACAAGTAGTCGCAGCGCCCCATTATGCTTTCCATTTCCGCGAGAAGGTAGACGGCTTATCACAGGGGCCTGCCCGCAAGTGGTCATTTGAAGTCGATCCCCCAGGTGTAGTCATCTCTTACAAGGCGGTGATTCTCGCCACAGGGCAGAAGTCGCCACTGATCACCCCGATGCCTGGGATGAGCCTAACCGAGCGCATCTCCGAAGTGCAGGCGTGCGGCAAAGCCTTGAAGAATGCGAAGACTCTAGACTCAGCTGATTTGTTTCAGGGTTGACACTAGCCATACCGCGTAAAATTCTGTACGCCGTCCATATGTGTATGAGTAAACAGGCCTGTGTACTCGCAATCACGTGGTTCAACTACGAACATAGCACTACTCAGATTGAATGTTGCAACAATACACGCCTGCCCTGTGTGGATCATGAGGGTCCTGAGATATTGAGAGTGTGTAAGTCGTAAGTGAATTCTTACAATACCGAATTCTATCATGCCAGCTTTCTAATGCTGTCGGACCCCCAGATGAATGTGGAGGAGACCCCCGAAAGGAGTTGAGAGGGCCTTGTCTAGTGGCGTCCAGCAAAGACTAGAGCAAAGAAGCATTTCGAGCACTGACCACCAGGAACCCAACCCTAAAACTGGACCCTATGGTCCCTTGCCAAGAACAGCTCAGGACGGTCATCTTCAATGGGGCTGGGCTGGTCGGGATCGAGATGTGCGGGGATCTGAGGGCCAGGATCGGGCTTAGGGATTTGCATGGGGATTAGGAGAGTGAACCCTGCAAACGTTTCATCCCTGAAGAATCTGTATATTCGCAAGCTGTAACTTCTGTAGGGTTTCCCCGCGTAAGCCCCACACATCCCCACACCCAACAACCAACATACCAAAACGCACAAGCCGCAAGCGTATGACAGGAGTGGCTACGGTGCCCGCGTGATTCTCCTCTCCCGGTCGGGTAAGGTCCTCGATTCAGATTTTGGCGACAAGGCCCTGAAGCCAGATCCACAAATTGTGAGCAAAGTGACGGATATCCTCACCAACAAGTTCAAGGTCGAGCTGAAGGCATCACAGGGTTGTGGACAAAATCAGGGCCAAGTCACGCTACGGCTGCAGTGGCCTACACCAGCACAAGCCCTACGGCGTCAAGTCGCATCAAGATGCATCAAACAGATTTCCAAAAATCAACATGCATGAATAGTCTAATGCCTAACATGATGACCCCGAAAAGGGATTCAACATGTTGAGCAGCCAAGGCCCTTAGACCTGAGATCCAATCCTGACATCACATTCCCTAAACTACCCCCCAACCGTAAACTGCCGTAAACCTTCCCAAAACTCTACACCCAGTTCTTCAAGCCCAAGCCTGTGAAGGAAGGAAGCGTTTCGGACCCGACGCTCGCGGAACCTTCCCTGAGCCCTGGCACGCTGAAGTTGGATACTGCGGAGCATCTTAAAAATGCGGCTGATGGACAAATACCGGGTGACGTCATGAACCCTAGGAATTGGTAAGACTGTAGACTTCCTAGGATTGCGCGGCATCATGTCCATCAACTGCTGTTTTTGGTTTTTTGCTCCTCTGGGTCTCAAGAGCGAGAGAGGAGACAGAGAGAGAGAGGAGACAGAGAGAGAGATAGAGACAGACGGAGACAGAGAGAGAGAGACAGGGAGACCCACAATTCAGAGAAGTCCAAAGCCGTTCGCCTAACCCCCAAAAAGCTTTGACAACCGAGCCCTATACCCAACACATCTTGAAGTATTCCCACATTGCCCTCTGTCTCATCCCAAGGAAAGTGGGGAGACGCTGGACTTTGATGTCTACATGCCATGCTACTCTGCGGGCCCCAACACAGGCTTCTTGCCTGGAGTGTTTCTCAAACAATCCCTAGACTACGTATCCTTCAGAGCACACCATTTGGAGAGCCTGTTCTTCAAATGAAGAGAATGAGCATTTCGTAATGGTTTATTGCTGAGGGGCAGGAATGCTGTGTGTATTCTCGCTTCAGTATCAGCTTACAATGGAGGAATATGTATTGTTGGGGGGATGGGTGTTACACAAGAAGGCGGAGCGGATGACGGATTGCACTAGTCAATGTTTTGTGTTTCCTTGTCAATCCCTAGCCCCTAAACCTGCTAAGTCCTAAACGTTTAAACCGGAAACCCTAAGCCTTCAGCCCAAATCGTAAGTTCTGAATTGAGAGGGCAGTGCGTTGCATCTGGAACCCACTCGGGGCGCAATACCCAACACAAGTCATTTTAGTTGTGATATTGTAGGCTCGAGACTTTTCAACGGTTTCTGAGGATCACAGGGCGATCCGAAAATTGAGAAACCCCGATTCAACATACGAGTTACTCTCAATATTAGCTTTGCTAAGGAGCCCTTAACAGTGGACATAGGGGTCCCTCCTGTAGTTTAGTAGGGTCCCTAGTGTAAGGAACCCATGTCCATTAAAGTATAGGAAATATCGACGTAGCTGATATCAGTCCACAAAATGGACTGGCTGTTGCAGCTCACGGTAGGAATCTGGCCTCTGGAGCCTCTCACGGGCTTTAGGGTTAATGGTTTAGGGTCTAGGCTTGTGGGTGTAGGTTTGAGGTTTCAGGTTCAAGGGGTTAGTTTGTTAGTTTGGTTTTACTGTTGAGTGTATCTTGCTTCTTGCAAGCGTTCAAAGAGGGTCTTTACCCTGCAGCCAAAGCGCTACTCCCTAACACCTTCAAACTAAAGTGAGAGTCCCTTTTCAGGTTGTTCTTCGTGCGGAAAACCTTGTTCCATTGTTTAGCACCCCTAATGTGCCACATACCAAAATAAGCCATAATCTACACTCCGGTAAGGGGGTTATATAGGGGATTGTATAGGGGAGTACTTTAGGGTTATTAAGGGCCCTCCCAATTCCCAGGCTTCCTCCGTTCTTCCAGTGCAGAAATACTCGATGGTCGTGGCGCCCTGGTGGTCAATGATCCTTGGCCGAAGAAACCCTGCATATAACGCCTAATTAAACCGGGTGTCCATTTCATTGTCCATTTTCCTTTCCAGTTGCTTCTCCGTTCAGGCTTCGGTACTTTGGAGAAAAGCTTTATGGGCTGTAAAGAACAGAGCTTTCTAATTGCAGTAACTTGATTCATGTAAGGTTTAAGTTTAAGGGGTTCAGGTTTCACGTTCAGGCCGTATGACTCGCCCTTGCAGAGACAAGTTTGTGCCCACGTCAGGGCGTTGCGCCTTCGGTCCTGTTGCACCAACGTGCAGTCATGAAATAGCACGATGTTTGCAGAGGCATCCGTCAGGTTGTGTCCCTTCTTTCAGATCTTGCAACCTATTGATATCCTCCCAGCTATGAGGGTCTTCACTCGAGAGGCATCCAAAAGCGGACCCAGAATACCTGGAAACCCTTTTACTTTCACATCAAATTTCAAACCTTCAACCTGAAGCCCCAAATAATAAAATAATTAAAGAAAAAAAAAGGAACCGAGCCTCTCAGCTTGGACCTAGAAACCACTTACAAACCTCTACTAGAAGCCACATGAGAACCCGTGGGCGCCTAGAAATGCTTCCGCGCCCACCTGGAGTAAGCCTTGAAGCAAAGCAGCGTCGTCCGAGAAGCCCTCCCTAGAAACCTTCGCTCTCAGCGCAAAGACACAGAGTGTTGAGTGTCATGCTTGGCAAACCTTGGACACAAGAAAGGTATTACCTCGACCAAAACAGAAGCAGCGCGCAAGAGCATCGCAAGCAACGTTGAGCAGCTTGACAGGTTTCTCTAGGCATTTTTTGACATGTGAGGCTTCATGATTACAAGACAGAGGAAATAAAGGAACGCAGACCGGAAACAGTGGATGTTTGGTTCTTCAAGCTCGCCGGCACATCTGCAATTAAGTCCGTAAAACACCCCGGACACAGTCACATCAGCCGCAGCCACAAGTTAAAGAAGATCCGGAAATAGTTGCGGTCCCTTCGTACTCTGTTCAGAGAGGGAAACTAGAGCAATAAAATGTGGAGGCCTGGCACTAGGCCAGAGGTCCAACAACGACCGTGTAGAAGGGCATTGATTGCAAGGCCCAATGGTCTCGGAGGCAGGACAGCACCTCCGAGCATAGCCCTGTTTTGAGATTAGCCTAAAACCCTAAACCTTAAACTTCATGTGGTAGTTTCCCTAAATAGGGGACCCCCATAAAGACCCCCAAAATACTCTCATGCTGATAATAGGCACCCCCAAAAAGGTACCCATAATTTCTGAAGCCCTCCATGTGAACCCAGGATTCCTTGCAGTCTTCCGTCCACCCGGAAGTCTTCGGTGTCAACGTGACTAACAAAAAGATCCCGGGGCATCCCGTGACGAGACACAACTCCTAGGCTTTAGTGATAGGGCTTAGGGTTTAGAGTTAGGGGTTTATAGGGTTTAGGGGTAAGGGGGTTGTGGGTCAAGGTTTGTGATTTGGGGAGTGGGGCATATACTGTTTAAGGTAAAAGGCTTGGAGTTTAGAGTGTTGGGTCTTCGGGGTTAAGCATTGAGGGGTTCTTGAGCTCAGAAGATCGAGGCTTTGAGCTGGACCATGTCGGAATTTAGGATCTTCAGCCTGCGTTTCAGAGTTTCAGGTTCGGGTTTAGGGGACGGATTGCAAGCATGAGGCAAGCAACTTTTCACAAAGAGGATGCGGACATTTGTAAACGTGTGCTTTCCCTAGAAGCCAGGAAAATTTCAGCGGCACTGACAACAATTGGCGCGCCTCAAGACCTGAATGCACCTGAAACCGTAAATCCTGCGGGAAGACAAAAAAAGGCCACAACCCTACCTACACCTTGCACCCCAACCCCAAGCCCAAATCCACAAAATCCCATCCCTTCCGAAAGCCCTAGCCACAAACACTTAAAACTTATATCTCCAAGATCTCTCAGGTCATTCAATATCTCTCGGCAACGGCTGAGCACTGTGCCAAGCAGGCCATCTCACTGCTGGAAGACACTTGGGCCTCTAACTTTGAAGGCTACACCACCATACAACAGTCTTATAAGTGTATCCAAACTACAATATAAATAAGGGTCCTATATATGGCTGTGATAGGAAAAGGGGGCAGTATCTAAGCTATTGATGTCAACATAGACACTTTCAATGGTATGAAGAACTGGAAACAGACGAAGATTGAGAATCACAACCGGAGCAATGCGGTAGGAGCACTTGAAACGTTTATAAGGCAGGCTGTCATAGGCGGAACAACAGCAATCATTCAGCAGGAGTAGTGGCCAGCCATGGCAGTTGTATAGGAGCAACACAAGCAGTAACTGCCGCCAGAATAGGAACAAGATTTGTGTCGGGCAACTGCATGGGAAGCCAAGAATGGTCAATATTACAGTCCCCAAATTCTCTCACTGGTTGCTAATAATGTTAGTAGGGAATGGAGGAGTGGATCCCTGTAGCAGCCCTTCTAGAGGCCCCCATGACATGCTAATTTCAACTTTGGTTTTCTTTCATCCTTCCCTACCACCCAAGTTGCTAGACCCTCATTTGTGCGGTAGTTTTCACGTTCTTTTCCAGTCCTTCATTCCATACCAACAACCAGCAAGAATGTTGGCTACAAAGCTGCGTGAACTCCCCACCAGTTCAGACCGGGCAGCTTCCTTTTTGTAATTCCTAGAGAAAGGGGCCCCATATGTATAATTCTCCGATGGGGTCCCGAGAGCCAACCAATTTTCAGAAACCCCTACACTTTACCTGGCAGCTGGAGAAGTAAGGACAAGCCGCTGAAGCCGTTCAATGGTATCTCGGTTCGCCTCATTGATTTCGGAATGTTCAACCTCACATGGCCCGAATAGTTCCGAGTTTTCAAGGCGGTCTGAGTTAGGAAGCTTCCGCCTAATGCTGCAGATCAATCATCCCCCCTGTACTTTCTGTCATCCCTGTCGGTATTGCATTTCAGGCTTAACACTTCTTGGATCCTTACAATGTGATGCACACAGAAGAGGCGTAGAGGGAGTGCTTCAGGAAAGGCATGTGCATTTTGAGGGGAGAGCCTGCTTCACGTGTTTCCCATTAGTGCAGACGTAGGGTACGGCTTCCCAAGTGATGTTGGCTTGCTTGTGACTAGTCACTCAATCGTAGAGCTACATTTCATGCGGAATCATCTATGTTCAGTTCAGCTTTCCACTGCAGGCATTCCCTGCCCTTGAAAAGTCCTGTGTAGGCTTCACTAGGCCAACAATGACTTGCGTTTCAGGGCATGACGGCTGTAGTCCATACGACCGGGTATGCACTGCAAGCTTTCAAATTTACAGCGGGTACAGAAGACTGAGGCAAAGCTGAAACACCAGTTCCCATCAACGTCAAGATCGGCCACGGCAAAGGCGGCAGTTTCAAAAAAGTTCGTGACCATACTGGGGAAACGGTATTCATATATACCCATTATGGTAACTCCAAATAAGTTCCTTAACAGTAGCCCGGACGTCTGGGGGCATAAGGCTTAGGAGTTTCTGCTTGGTGCGCTTCGTCAGTTTCCACCAGTGCAGGCCTAGTTTACAGAGTTGAAGGCAAACACACACAGAATCTCCCAGGTGGCTATATGATTTGGTACGGCCTTCCAGGCCCGGCCAAAGCGTGCTGCTGCCTGCCGCTGAGTTCTCCTTCAAGCATCTGTTTTCTTTTTTGTGGCTTAGGGTTTGGATAAGGACGTGGCATCTGATTGTAAAACGTGAGCCTTACCTTGTAGGTTCAGCGCCCAGGCATGGGCGTCCTCTGAAGGGGTAACCCATGGCTCAATCAGGATTTGTTGGGCCTGTCACTGTATCAGGGCTTCTCCTAGCCGGAGCACAGCCGACCTTTCAACTAAATTCCCCAATCCCGCAAATTAAAGGATGCTGCCATTGAGCACAAGAAAGTGTTGATATCCTGGCGTTGCTGCCATCATATGTGACTTAATTATGAATCAGCTGTACATATGTGAATGTTGGATAACGCTGCTGCGCATCAAACAAGAAGCGGGATGAGTCAGCAAAATGTTTTGAAGCCTGTACATGATCGTCCCTCGTCCAAAACACTAAGCCCTGTTCGAGTTTTACTTTTTCTATAGAGCAAGAATTCACACGAGGGGCGAAAACAGTGTTCCTTTGCCCAGCCTAGGGCTCGGACCTTCCTCTTTTGTGTTGGTATGGTATAAACCCTAACCAACACACTACAACCGACCCGAACGAAACTATATAGGAGCCTCTGACTGACTAAGGCCATGCAAAGGAGGGTTTCCGTTCTGCCCGCCTCCCTGCTGCTGGTGCTGTTTGCCGGGGTGTGCCTTGGTCCACTTCAGCGATTTGGTTGTCTTGTTGGTATTATTGGTGCTAGTGGTGGTGGTGGAGGAAGCCTTAAACCTCAAAGCCTAAACCTCAAGGCCCCCATGTCCTCCCATTTGGTCTTCCCGTTTGGGAGAGCCCTTCTTTCAAGCAGACAGAGAGGTTCTGGGGCATGCGGCAACTGTGGCGAGCCAGCGGAAGGTGAAGGGCCGGCTATCTTCATGCCAAGTCGCTGGATTTTGGTATAACTTAGGTGGACCCCCCACCCAGTAATAGTGACTATACGGGACAATAAGGATGATATTAGGGTTCTCTTATATTCCCACTATACCACATTACAGGGTGGGGGGTCCTCCTGAGGTGTAACGCCTTAAGGGATTTAGGCTTCTAGGGTTCAAGGCTTCAGGATGTTTAGGTTGAGGGGTTTGAGGTTTAGGATTTTGAGGTTGAGTCGAGGGTCATTTAGGTAGTTATCGAGGTTCCCTGTTGCAGATTTTTTGGCATCTATGTTTGGTAACGTTTCCTGTTAGTGGTACATGTTGTGGAACAGAAGTGCAGTTGAAGCTGTTTGAGGTTCCACATGGGCTATAAGATAGCCACTATCTTGTCACATGGGGAGGGGGGTCGAGATTGTGATCCTTTTTGATTTACCCTGTAAATACCAGTAGCCGTGTTATGCAGGGGACCCAAAATTAGGGACCATGAAGTTGACGACCTTCCATGTGATGTTCTGCAAAGACTCCGCGGGGCGTCTTGTGGCTACAAGGCTCTTTGAGTTTGCAGGGCATAGGCTTTTCATTCATGGGTGGCCTACTGTCAGCTGGATGATGGGGCTAGGAAGGAAAGGAGATCTATTTGCACCCTGGCTCTTAGCGGAAGACGTTATCATCGCATAACCCCATGTACGAAGGATATCTGTGTAAACTACAGTGTATCCCAGTACTCACGATAGAACAGGGGTTCAACAATCCGAGGCCTATGCCAAGGTTTTTGGGAGTTGGCATCCTGGATTGAGAGTTACTTGCGACCTGTCCCAAAGCCTCCCATCCCTAAACCCTAGTCTTGTCCCAGTTACCATTCTGGCTTTGGATGAGATTAGCATATTCGAGCTGTGGCCTAGCCGGCCGACCTAGTAGTTCACAAAGCGCCCACCCACCTAGTAACAAGCATTCCCTCTATTACTCCAATGGGGTTAGGCTGGAAAATCCGGGTTTCATGCTTAGGGCAAGGGGTCACCATCCATTTTGTGAGACCCTGGCGGTATTAAGGGGGAACCTTCGTGTAGAGGGGTACAATAGGGTCATAATTGGGCTATGTGGGGTTGCGATTGGTATTTGAAGATCAGTCTTACCCCCGCAAATTAACCTGGAATCTCACATTGCGCCATTTAAAGAGCAGTAGCTTTCCCCACCTCCCTTCAAAACGTCAACCCTACCCTCCAAAGAACCCATAGTGGCAAACCCTACCCTACACCCTAAACCCTAAACCCGAGCCCTATCAGACGCCCAGATCTCTTGGCGAAGTTCCCCACAGTCAAGGGTCTTGGGGACTACGGACTCGAGAAGCCAGCACAAGCCACAATGCTGCTGGGGCGTTCTTGATATTGGTTTTCATGGAAGATTTTTCAACACTGGTCCTTGTGCCCTTTACATTCCTGTTGTAATCTGCACGCACAGTGGGCTCCGTGTGAATTTGAGGCCCCGAGTTTGGACATCGCAGCTCAAACAACTCTCTTGAAACACTTCGCGTTTCGGATTCAGGGTTTAGTCCTACCTCCAGATATCCAAGACTATGGCTGCATGGGGTGCTTACGGCTTGGGGCACATGATTTGTAGTTAGGGCTCGAACTGCCAAATCAGAGATCTCCTGAATTTACAAGAGTCGTAGTGCAGGACATATTCTGAACAGCAGGAAGAACAACATAGCTTTCAAGATGTTGCCCAGCATGTATGGGGACATTGTGACTTTTCTAAACCGATTCCCTCAACTTATGATTCTTTCTCCCAGCCCAAATACCATCTACATATGTTTATATATATATGTATATATTACCAGTGGAATATCATTTGATAACGGGCGTTTTTGTGGTGCTGTGAATTATGACTGTTACTGGGAGGGGATAAGTGCAGTACAGATCCGCACGGCTAGGCTTAAGGACTCCAACTCTCCTGGGTGCTTTAAATTTACCCCCTAAACCCTACACCCCAAACCCTAATGTCAGTTGCCTATCAACTTGGGTACCTTATATATATATATATATGTATGTGTGTATATCTGTATATATATATAGTTATTTGTGATTTATTTAGGTACCCCCCTCAGTGAACTCTGAGCTGTAAGTAAGCATGCAGCTGGTGCAGGCCATATGTTTGCCAGCCCCTCTAGACCCTAAAGCCTAAACCCCTACACCTACTCACCCAACCGATGTAATCTCGCCACCCTTAACCCTAAACCCCAAACTCTAGCGATTGAACCCAAAGCAAAACTTTCCTGTAGCCTAACCTTCTACTATTGTGCCTAAACTTCCCAACAACCACTGCAGCCCCAGGGCATAGACTGCAAATGCTTCCGCCTCGCGCTGCTTGGGGTACTCGAGCTGAGCGGAACTAATGAGGAAGTGATCAGCCTTCCAAGCAGTGAATTGGGTTGTTACAAAACTATGAATTACTAGTCATAGTAGTTAGTTGTACTGAGTCGTTCGAGTACTTGCAGCAATGGTAATAGCGTTCGTTTTCTGTTGGGGCCTGCCAATTTCAGGGTGCTGCACTGAGGGTAGTGTCATGATAAATGCAGGCTATCGTGCTTGAGACTTCTGCATAGGTTCCATAGACCAGTAGGGATGTAGCTCAGTTTGACTAGACATGGAAGACAGATCGAAGTCTCCCAAGAATGATCCTTACCCCAATCCACAGCACACGTCCCAGACTCCCCCCAAATCACTGTTCATGTGCGCTGCGATCCAAAGTCGATCTGCACAGAAAAACTGCATGGATAGTGCCAAACATTGGGGGTCCCCGTTTAGAGCCCAAATATTATACTCCCTATTCCAGAGCCTTTTTGGAGAGGGATCCCCAGGTCTTGGAAAGCTTGTATGCAGCAAAGTTCGTAGAATTTCGCCCTGAAAAGCGATCCTCCGGATGATGGTCCGTCCATGCGGTCCCCCAAGCTAACACGGAACTTCACATTTTGGGAATCTTTAGGGGTTGTGTAGGTAAATATCGTGGTGTATAGGATCTAGCCCCTTAAAGCCCCTTTTAGAACGACAGTAGTTGTTAAAGGGCACTTTGTGCGTTTCCATGTTAGCTTCGAGAAGGAACGACCTGTCCTGTGGCAAGAGGAACGACATCGGGACCCTAATTTGGGGAACCCACCTGTGTCAGTAATCTGATGACAGGCAGTGGCAGGCCATTGGTGCCATTGGTCTGGAGTACCGGTGGAGTTTCTCGACATCTGCCCAAAAAATCTTTGAAAGGAGAGGAGACTCCCCCAAGCTGCAACAATCCCCATGTATCCCTTTGGTATCCATGAAGAATGTCGGCTTGAGAAACCCCATGGTCCGTCTTGCAGCGGCAGGAAAAACTCCGCCGCGAAGTATCCAGCTTCCTTTGGAAGGAAAAACAGGGAGTTTGGGTGGGTCTGTAAGACTGCCTCTCAGAATCTCAGAACAGGGTAATCAGGCACCGGCACCTTCAGGCTTTGAGTTGTTCAGCTACGCAACCTCCTGCAGACGAGCGCGGCTACCTACTCATCTGCGCAATAGATCACGGGTCTGGTATCTTCGACTTTTCGGGCACGACCTTTTGCAATGTTGAGCTGACAGGAAAGAACCCCCAGCCCCAACCAAATTTTTGGTCTGCATTTTCGGTCTACCGAGAAGGGGGGGGTCGCGAGAGTAAGCCAAGGGGTTGGGGTAGGACCAGGTAGTGCAGCTCGCAGTGCCAGTAGTACAGGTAGAAGGGAATCTATTGAAATCGGAATATTTTCGGGCGGACAATATTATGATTGTCAACCCCTTTATTATTGTTGCGGGAAATTGTTCAGACTTTTTCAGGCTCCGAACTTGTTACCAAGCAAACGTAGTCTTCCAGGATTTTTCTGGCTCGGCAACAACATATTATTGCCACCCCCTTTATTTATGAATGGTAGCTCAACATTAGACCCTAACGCAGTGAAGGCATTGCCAAAAGAGAGATCCCCTCTCCCTAGCCAAAAAATTCTGGTGCTCCTCATGCGCGCTGCCAAAATGGGCCGTTTGGGCCCCAATAACGGGTGATTGCCTGTCATAACACAAGAGGCCAGCCATCTTACTTGGTAGCCCCTTTCTGTGTTTCCACACCTCACACATTCTGGCAGCCGGAGGGCTCCGGCAGAGAACAAAGTAGGATCTGGAGGCTAGCCCCCCCTTCCGCCTAGCAAGATATGGCCAAGCCGTGTCTGGGCTGCCACTGGATGACCTGAGCTACTATCAGCAGTATCCTTGCCATGGCGTCACTAGAGGTAGACCTGGGACCTGGGCTTTTGCTTTAGAAGCTGAGTCACACGTGGATTCAACACATGTCTCAGAAGCGTCGTGGTACTGTGAATTGAAAGATTGCGTCTTTGTGGAACAAGGGGCTCCCACATGTAGAGACATGGCATCACGTTGTGGATGGGAGAGAAAGCTTCAAAGACCATGTTTCCCCTCCACTGCTCCACTGGAACGCGCACAGTGAGCAGATGCACCGCTCTTATCCGGTTCCACATGTTTTTTGCTTGGGGGGGGGGTATATTGAAGTAGTGGTTATATTACGGTTTTTGGTGAGTGTAGACAGGGTTCCTGCTAATATTGGTGTGTGTGTGTGTATATACTGGGTGTCCAGTTGGGGGCTTAAAATAAAACCATGGCAACCTTCCCATGCATGAACCAGAGCCCTGGGCACCCATGCATGAACAAGAGCCACGAGCAAACGCAGTTTGCTTCTGAAACGCTAAATATGGCTTGGCTATGCAGCGTCTGCCATGGAACAAGTAGGTCACATGCTCACAGTCCTTGCATAACACCCCAGACGTCGACCAAAGGTCTAAGTCTACACGCCAACCCTGACAATATTCATAGCCCCAAACGCGAACCCTGTGGGAAGTCATGTCATACCCTGCCTCTGAGAGCCCTTGCCTTCAAACCGAAACCCCCAAAACAAGCCTGAAGCCTGCACTCCAGCCCGCACCCCACGTGCCAGAGCTAGCACACTACACGGATGGTCTTTCGAATTTTTTAGGGACTACTCACCCCAGAACCCGACACTCTAACCTAACCTTCAACTCTGACAGGTGTTTATCCATAGTTCCTTATGGATGTTAATTGTTTTGGTAAGTACCGCGAGTGTTTCGCAACACATTCTAGGCAAGCCCTTCCTCACCCTCTCCACCCAAAGCCCTACATCTTCAGCTCTGAGACCAAAATCCCGAGCCAATGCCTAACCCTACAACCCTGAAGCATCTACTTCTTAACCACAACTGTATAAGCTTAATTCCTAGGCTCCACATCCGAAGCCTTCAACCCCACCAATGTAAGCAAAAACCTTAAACCCCGAAACCCTAAACCCTAAACCTCGAAAACCTAGACCTCTAAAACCTAAACCCTAATTGAACCACACATCACGGCTATAGGTTTGACATCGGAAACCCCTAAACCCTAAACCTGGAAAACCTAGACCTCTAAAACCTAAACCCTAATTGAACCACACATCACGACTATAGGTTTGACATCGCAGTGATTGGCGCCGGCCCGGCCGCTCTCGCCACTGCCTTTTGGGCTTGCTTTGAGGGGATCAGGATGTGGCGTTTGGATGTCGGGTGTAGGGTGTAGAGCTTAGGTTTAGGATTGGATATGTTTTGAGATAAGGGCGACGCAAGCTGATTTTTAGGGCTTGTAGGATTTGGGCTTTTGGAGTTATTGAATGTCTACTTAACCATGCACACTCTAGTTTGCAAGTTCCTCCCCCACCATCTCCTTGCTGGTGCTTAAGGGAGAACGGGGGAGTGGATCCTCATAATAATCCTGATACAATCCCCATATATAGCCCTGTAGTGGTACCTATATTCACTCCCCCACTCCCCGTTATGCACCCGTAAGTCTCCGTGAAATTGCAGGTGAAGGCGCTCTCCAAGAGCAAGCACTCTGTGGCGTATATAAACGGCTACACGTTCCAGGATGAGGGTCTGCGGGGTTTAGGGTTTGGAGTGTGGGTTTGGGGGTCTTGATCTAGGTCATCTCTTGAAATCTTGATCCATCTCTGGGGTCTTTTAAACGCGAGCTTATTTCGGGGGGGGGTGAAGTCAATGTTAAGCTCTAATATTGAACTAATCATGGCTTGTGCATGGCTCTTTTGAGGTTCAGGCCAGGAAAGGGTTCTCTTCCCAGCGGCACTACATCATGGAATATTGCTTATGCTGTATAGATATTGGTTATGGGCATTTACTCCTGCTTGCGGTACCTTCATAAGTGTATGGGCCAATCTACTAAAGCGTCAACCCTAGATTCAAAAACCATATAAACCACACTCCTAAGCCCCGTAACTCTTAAACCCTAACAACCCCAAGCCAAGCGTGATTCACCTTCCTGGGCTTCCAGGAGTTTGCTATCGCCGCTGCCGTCTTTCTGAATTCACCCGAGGTCCCCTCCTGGGAACCCAGTTTGGGATGCAGGGTTTAGGGTTTAGGGTGCCTAGTTCACTTTTGAACACAAGTTTCTTACTTTGCTGTAGTAAAGCCAAATGAGAAGCTCGCATTTATCAATTTCATGACTATCCGTCATATTTTCAATACGATCTTAGCAAGGAACCAGTCCGGGTTTACAACAGCGTAAACATTACGCCTTATGAGGGGTTCAGGTGTTGGGCTGATGCCATTTTGGGGGTTCTGAAGTGCCCTGCTTGGGGAGTGGTCTTGAGATCCTTGATGGAGGGGCTTTTCTGTTGTTACGAGCCCCTTGGGTCCTCAGATGAAGTCCGGCGGGGTAGGAGGGAATCGGCGTCATTGGGATCATTCTGAGATCGCTTCTATGAGGACTGTGGTGGGGATTGCGGCTCTTGTAAAACATCATTTCAAAGACCATTCCAGAGTTTACTGTGGGACTTACATGCCGGCTATAGATGGTGAAACAGCGTGGGGCGCCCTTCACTGCCTATATAGCCATGCCAGTTTGCATCCGGCTCCACAACACTTCCAGCCCAACCCACAGAACAGGAGCATGTGAAGTGGACCTCGGGGGATCCTTCAAAGTGGCAGCCGAAGCATGCCAATGTGGAGTGCTTCCACAGCTCCGCTGAAACAGTGGACTGCGACAAGAAGGAGATTACCCTCATGAACAAGGGGCCGCATGCAGGTGGCTGCCTAGGGTTTAGGCTTTGAAGGTTGAGGGTGCAAGGTGTAGTGCGCAAAATAAGTTCTGTTTCTGATAGACTCATAGACCCCGCATTGTTCACATTATCTACATTTCGATGGTTAAAAACAAACAAGTAGTCGCAGTGGCCCTTTATGCTTTGCATTTCCGTGAGAAGGTAGACGGCTTATCACAGGGACCCGCCCACAAGTGGTCATTTGGGGTCGATCCTCCAGGTGTGGTCATCTCGTACAAGGCGGTGATTCTCGCCACAGGGCAGAAGTCGCCCCTGATCACCCCGATGCCTGGGATGAGCCTAACCGAGCGCATTTCCGAGGTGCAGGCGTGCGGCAAAGCTTTGAAGAACGCGAAGACTCCAGACTCAGATGATTTGTCTTAGGGCTGAAACTAGGGCCCCCCACATAGCGTAAGGTTCTATATACCGTCCATATGTATATAAGTGAACCTGCGTGTGTACTCGCAATCACTCGGTTCAACTACGAACATAGCACTACTCAGCTTGGGTGTTGCAACAATACACCCCTGCCCTGTGTGGGTCATGAGGATCCTGAGATATTCAGAGTGTGTAAGATTATTACAATACGGAATTCAAGCAGGTCTGGCTTTGACACACCCCTAGATGAATGTAGAGGACACCCCCGAAAGGACTTGAGAGGGCCGTGTTTAGTGGCGTCCAGCAAAGCCTGGGGCAGAACCCAAACCCTAAAGACTGGAAACATTAACCCCAGACCCTAGGGTCCCTTGCAAAGAGCGGCCCAGGACGGTCATCTTCAATGGGGCTGGCTTGGTTGGGATCGAGATGTGCGGGGATCTGCGGGCCAGGATCGGGTTTAGGGATTTGGGGTGTAGGAGAGTGAGCCCTGCAAATGCCTCGTCCCTCAAGAACCCGTATGGTCGCAAGTTTCAACTTTTGTGGGGTTTCCCCGTGTATGCCCCACACCCCACAACCAACATACCAAAACGCGCAAGCCGCAAGCCTATGACAGGAGTGGCTACGGTGCCCGCTTGATTCTCCTCTCCCGGTCGGGTAAGGTCCTCGATTCGGACTTTGGCGACAAATCTCTGAAGCCAGATCCACAAATCGTGAGCAAAGTGACCGATATCCTCACCAACAAGTTCAAGGTGGAGATCAAGGCATCACGGGGGTGTGGACGGGCCAAAGCACTCCTACCCTTTTGATGACCTGTGGTGAACTAGTCACGGCTCCAGCGGCCTATGCCAGCACAAGCCCTACGGCTTCAAGTCGCGTCACGATGCATGAAAAGTATTTCCTAAAATCAATGTGCGTATGCCCCAGAATACTCTAATGCCTAATGCCTAACATGATGACCGCAAAAAAGGATTCAAGCTTTTGAGGAGCCAAAGCCCTTAGACGTGAGACCCAATCCTTACAACATATTCCCGAAAATACCCCCCAACCGTAAACCTTCTTCCCAAAACTCTACACCCTGTTTTTCAAGCCCAAGCCTGTGAAGGAAGGAAGTGTTTCGGACCCGACGTCCGCGGAACCTTCCCTGAGCCCAGGCACGCTGAAGTTGGATACTGTGGTGCATCTTAAAAAATGCGGCTGATGGACAAATACCGGGTGACGTTATAAACCCTAGGAATTGTGGCAAGACTGTAGACTGAACAGGGTTGTGTGGCATCATGTCCATCAGCTGCATGTTTTTCATTTTTGTGGGTTTCAAAAGAGAGAGGGAGAGAGAGAGAGAGAGAGAGACTGAGACAGAGAGCAAGAGAGAGAGAGAGAGAGAGAGAGGGACAGCACTCACTAACCTCCCTCGGCCGCACCTACACTTCTTGACCCGACGAAATGTGGAGGTGTAACCACAAGGGGAAGGTCGACGACATATAGTCAATCCTGACTTTGCGATAAGGAGCCCTCCCTAGGTACAAGGCACCATTACGCCAGAGCAGGGGGTCGAAGACGGGTAGAAGATGGGGGCCAGTACCGAAGGTGTCGTCCTGGCATAACCAGCATCCCCTGGCAATTTTGTATAGGGATTGCTGTGCTATGGGCCTAGTCCACGCGCAGTCGGACTGCGCATAGCACGTAGAAGAAGAAGAGCGAGAGAGAGAAGAGAACCACAACTCAGAGAAGCCTTGATCAGCTTGCCTAAGCCCGAAAAGCTTCAACAACCTATCCTTACACTGTTCTCTGTGTCATCCAGAGGATAGTGGGGAGACCCTGGACTTTGATGTCTACATCCCATGCTTCTCTGCAGGCCCCAACACGGGCTTCTTGCCTGGAGCTTTTCTCAAGATGATCCCTAGACTGCGTATCCTTTAGAGCGCCAATCTAGAACGCGAAATAATGAGCATTTCGCCGGGACTTCATGGTTTGTTGCTCAGGGCAGGAATGCTGCGTGTATTCTCATTATAGTATCATGTTACAATGGGGGAACATGCATTGTTGGGACGACTGGGTGTTGTGCAAGAAGGTAGAGGTATTACAGATTGAGTGAATGTTGATTATGTTTTCTTGCCAACCCTAATCCCTAAAATCTGCTAAGTCCTGAACCCCAAACCCTGAGCCTACATCCCAAACCGCAAGTTCTGCAATGGAAGAGCATTGCATGGCATCTGGAACCCATTTGGGGGCTCCATATCCAGCAAAACTCAATGCAGTTGCGATATTGGAGTCAGTCATGTAAGCCAGGTTCGAGAGGATCACAGATGTGGGCTTTTTTGGGAAATCCGGAAGTTGAGAAACCCGATTCAACATATGAGCTATTGTCAACATACAGTGGACACAGGGGGCCTTCTTGTAGTTTGGAGGCCCCAGTATACTCCTTAAGAAGAAACCCATGTCCATGTAGTTATTTAGCAAACATACTGACTGTAGCTCATATCAGTCCGCGAAATGGACTGACTGTTGCAGCTCACCTGCGCTGTACTGGGAAAGGTAGGCTTTGGGCCTCTGGAACCTCCCAGAGATCTTCAGGCTTTAGAGTCTACGGTTTAGGGAATTGGCTTTTTGGTGTAGGTGTTAGGTTTCAGGTTCTAGGTGTTAGTTTGCTAGTGTGATAAGTTTGTTTTAATGCATCTTGGTTCTTGCAACTTTTGAGAGAGGGTCTTTACTCCTCAGCCAAAGTGCGACTCCCCAAATCCTTGAAATTACAGCCTGCTCTTGAGCCGCTAAATAGAGTGTCCCAAAGTGAGAGTCCCTTTTTTATGTTGTCCTTTGTGCTGAAAACCTTGTTCCACATTTTAGCAATCCCAATCTGCCTGCCCCATACCCATAAATTAGCCATTATCTACACTCCGTAAAGGGGGTCATATAGGGGATTATATAAGGGAGTATTATAGGGGTTCTATAAGGGATAATATAGGGGAGCATTATAGGGTTCAGGTTTATATAGGGGAGCATTATAGGGGAGTATTATAGGGGTTATATAGGGGATTATATAGGGGAGAATTATAGGGTTCAGGTTTATATAGGGGAGCATTATAGGGAAGTATTATAGGGGTTATATAGGGGATTATATAGGGGAGCATTATAGGGGTTATATAAGGGATTATATAGGGAGTATTGTGGGGTTATTGAGGGATTAGGGGAGTATTATAGGGCTTATATAAGGGATTATATAGGGGAGTATTATGGGGGTTATTAAGCTGGCCCTCCCAGTTCCCAGGCTACCTCCGCTCTTCCAGTGCAGAAATACTCGATGGTCGCGGCGCCCTGGTGGTCAATGATCCTTGGCCCAAGCAACCCTTTATATAGCGTCTGTGTAAAGTTGATCCTCCGTTCAAGTTTAGGTGCTTTGGAGAGAAGCCTCCTTAGTTGCCTAGACACGGTTGGGTTCCTGTTCAGAAACTTAATTTAGGTTCCCATGTTCTGGACATATAGTAAGTAGCAGGGTCTCCTTTTTCTAGTAGCTTAAGTTATGTGAGGTCTATTTTCACTTTCAGGCCGTCTGACTCGCCCTTGCATAACCTCAAATTTCAAACCCTCAACCTGAAGCCCCAAATCAACAAATTTGAAGCTGGGACCAAGCTTATAAGCTTGTACCCGAAGCTCTAGCATACAAACTACAAACTAAACTTTAACGCTAACCGTATCAGGGTTCCGCTGACGACGCTGGAATAAGAAGGGCCCAGTCATTCGGCAAGATCAAAGATTAAAGCACACTCTCCTACAGTCATCAAACACCAAACACCTGTTCACCTCCCAAAGCGAGAAGTGAGGGCTTTAGCAAGCAGTGCTGTGCAAGTCGTATAGTCACCACATTCTGACATGACATGTCGGCATTATACACTTACCCTGGTAATAGTTAAAGCCCTTACAGTCACGCTGAAAGCCCTTAAAGGCTTCTGGCAAACCTCCAGAAACCACACGAGACTTCTTGGGGACCCTCTAGAAATGCTTCCGCGCCCACCCGGAATGAGCCTGGAAGCTAAACAGCGTCATGTGAGAAGCCCTCGAGAGAAACCTTCCCTCTCGGCGAAGAAAAGCAGTGTGTGGAGTGTTCTTGCCTTATCATGCTTGGTAATCTTGAATAACAAGAAAGCAATAGTCTCATAGGGTAGGTCGACCAAAACAAAACCAGCAAAGACTGGCTCACAAGGCACGCAGGAACATCGCAAGCAGCGTTGAACAGTTTGACAGGTTTCACTAGGCATGTTTTAACATTTGAGGCTTCATGAAGACAGTGGACGCTCGGTTTTTCAATCTCGCAGGCACCTCTGCAACTAAGTTTTAAAAACGCTCCGGACACAGTCACATCAGCCACAACCACGAATTAAAGAAGATCCGGTAACAGCTGCGGTCGCTTCGTATTCTGTTCAGAGAGGCCAAAATGAGCAGGAAAATGTGGAGGCCTAGGTGCGATGACGCCCGTGTAGAAGGGCTTTTGTTGATTGCGGGCCCAATGGTTTGGGAGGGAGTACAGCACCCCCAAAGCCCATGTATAGTATACGCCCTACATTGCACCCTACAAAGCTCATGATAGAATCTCAAACAATGATTATCCCAACAAAAGGGGACCCCAATATAAACCGCAAAATATTCTACTGCTTAGTATAGGGACCCCGAAAAGGCACCCATAATTTTGGGAACCCTCCATGTGAGCCCAGGATTCGTTGCAGTCTTCCGTCCACCCAGAAGTCTTCGGGATCAACGTGACCAACAAAAAGATCCCGGGGCATCCCGTGACCAGACACAACTCTCAGGCTTTAGCGAAGAAGGTTTAGGGTTTGAGATTTAGACTTTAGGGCTTAGAGTTGAGGGCTTAGGGCTTAGGGTTTTAAGGGCTTAGGGTTTGGGGCTTAGGGTTTTTAGGGCTTAGGGTTTGGGGCTTAGGGTTTAGTGCTTAGGGTTTAGGAGGTAATTAAAGGGTTGCGGGTCAAGGTTTGGGATTTGGGTTGCGAGGTCTGCTGTTTCGTTGAGGGGCTCTTGAGCTCAGAAGATTGAGACCTTGGAGCTGCAGTATCTCGGAAGTAAGGATCTTTCAGTGTGCGCTTCAGAGGTTCAGGTTAATTTATGTAGACCCATGATTAATAAACCCCCTCCTGTTAAGGGCCTTAATATTAGGATCCTTATTATAACCCCCATTAAGGAAGGGGTTTATTAATCATGGGTATGGGTTAGGGTTTAGGGGACGGAATGCAAGGGTGAGCCAAGCGAGTTTTCACAAGCAGGATACAACAAGTTGTAGAAGTGTTCCTTCCCGCAGGGGCAGTAGTACCTCAGCTGCACTGACACTAGCTGGCGTGCCCCAAGATCTAAATGCACCCGAAACCGTAAATCCATACGCGCAAACCGGCAAAACAATTCAGCCTACAACCCTACACCCTTGCACTTCAACCCCAAGCCCACAACCCACAAAATCCCAGCCACAAACACTTCAAACGTAAATCTCCAAAATCTATCAGGTCACTCAGATTATCTCGGCAACGGCTGAGCACTGTGCCAAGCAGGCCATCTCACTGCTGGAAGACACTTGG